GCTGCATGTGACACTTTGAGAAAGGAAACATTTCTTGTTTATCTGAAATCGTATTACAGAATTGCATTTACTTACTTAATCATTACTAATCATAACTTAAGAGAATGTGTGTTTGTATATGAACTTGTAGATTACTGAGCTAGTGCACCAGCGTGATGTGACCAGAACCATGGTAAAGAACAAAGTCAATAACCCCAAGTCCTTTGACTGGCTGTCTCAGATGAGATTCTACTTTGATCCCAAGAACACAGATGTTCTACAACAATTGTCCATTCAGGTATTTGTCATTGAACACTTGATGTGCTGTTCCTGTTCTCAGTATGCCTTTTGTGTCTTCTCCTCCTCCACCCCCTCCTCCTCCACCCTCCTCCTCCTCCTCCTTCCTATACAGACCCTCACCCAGCTCATGCCAGGCTCACCTATGTCTTCCCCATCCTTTTCACCTCATTCTGTTTCTCTCTCTCTCTCTCTTTTTTTTAAATATATTTTTTTGTAACTTAAAATGAGGTAAATTTGGTGATAGGGAAACTTTTTTTTCTTAAAATAGGTTGTGTTAGCACGTCTTAGTTGTTCCTCTGCTTAATCTCAAGCCTGTCTGTTGCTTACATTATTTTGTGTTGTAGAACATGTGACAGTCAGTATCTTTATATGTATGTCATATCACCAGCTTTATGCAGTCAAGTGCCATATTTCGTCAAGATTCACTTCAGTAATGGTATACAGTTCTGAGTACTTGTTTAAAAGGTTTAAAAAAAAAAAATAAAAATAAGTAAAGACCCTTTTCCAAGCCTTCAGAGGTATTGAGCATGTACACAGGGCTAGACGTATGTTTTATAGCCCATTTGGCACTCGGTGGAGGATGTGGGCAACACATCACTCCAGCCACCTTTACTTGCAGGACTTTGCCTGGTGTGCCCGTTTAAGGCTGGATCGACCTGAGAGCCAAGGTAAAAAATTTTTTTTTTAAAGTCTGGCTTCACAAAGACCCGAACCCAGGATGTGTAATTATCACCCCACCGAAAAATCGAGTTGTTTGACTAACCACACTTCTTTTCTTGGGAAAATAATATGGCAGTTTCTGCTTTGTTCCACATACATTTAAGAGATATGAACCACATATCTTCTTTGCATTCATCATCATCATCATCATCATCAGTTCTCGTTATGCCTAGTGGCACACGAGGCTTCAGAGAGGACTTTCCATGCTTTCCTGTTCTGTGCAATCTTCAGTGCAGTTTTCCATGTCAAAGATGCCGCACTCAGGTCACTTTCCATCGTTCGTCTCCATGTCGTTTTTGGGTGCCCCTGTTTTCTCTTTCCCTCTGGTGTCCATGTGAGAGCTGTTTTGGCAGGTATATCAGAAGTCATTCTCATAACGTGGCCAAGCCATTTCCATCTTCTCTTGGTAATCATACTGTCTAAAGTTTCTTGGTTTGTGGCTTGAAGTAGTTTAGTGTTTGAGATTGTATCTGGCCAGAAAATTTTGATAATTCTACGTAGACATGTGTGGTGGAAGGTGGACAGCTTGTGTGCATCCTTTTTGGTCATTCTCCAGCATTCCGCTCCATAAAGAAGAACTGGCAAAATGATGCTCTTGTAGAGTCGGAGTTTTGTTTCTCTGCAGTAATTGTTGGATTTCCAGATTTGCCCCATCCTTCCAAAAGCAGCTCTAGCTTTGCTCAGGCGTGGCTGTATGTCTTCCTCTGTCCCTCCCAGTAGGGACACCACACTGCCAAGATATGTGAAATGTTCTACATTTTCAAGTAATTGGTTACTTATGGTCACTAGTTGTTGGTTTGGACTGTTTGTCATGATCTTAGTTTTCTTTGTATTTATTCTCAGTCCCAGCATTTCATGTTTATGTGATAGGAGTGTTATGTCATCTGCAAAATCAAGGTCCTCAAGCATGGTGAATGGAGTCCATCGTATGCCTCTTAATGTCCTGTCTACTGTGTTCTTTAGTATCCAAGCATTCATCCAAGTGACATAAATGCATTCTGTCTGTTAACAGCAGAGCTGTGATATTTGCACCTTTCAATTGACACATCTGACATCATTGAGTATTTGTTGACCTAGTTAACCTTCCAGAGAGCCACATATTATAGGCACTCTTTTCCCCTCTAATTTAAAGTAAGAAAAAAGGCAATAATCTAAGGAACCAACAACCTGCAGACTTAGTGATCTTGAGTGTGTTTAACGTGTAGTATTTTGAACATGACTGAACTATAATATCATTCAGCTGAGTTTAGTTTAGTCAAGAATTGACATCACAGCACTCAGGGCATTCCCATGCATGCTCCGTCCTCTTCTTCAGCAGCCAACGCAGAGCTCCAATACTGATGGTACCGGTTACAATCTGGTTATATGTCCGTCCTGCCTTTTCTCTGAGTGTAGTGAGCCGGCCAGACCCTCTGGTTACACCCAGATGCCTCATTCTTTCCAGGCCATAATAATCTTCTTTTTTTTCTGATTCCATTGCTTGTTCCCAAAGGGCCCTGACCACATCTGTCTTGTCATGTATCAGTTCACCACCCAGTGGTGCAGATCCAGCCAATCTGTCTGCCTGTTCATTACCCACCATTCAGCTTTGCGAAGTGATGATAATATTTGTAAAAGGCTAGTGAATTTGATGGGTTATTTAATGCTATTTTTCATCTTCCACCAGATGGCTAATGCCAAGTTCAACTATGGCTTTGAGTACCTTGGAGTCCAGGACAAACTTGTGCAGACTCCTCTCACAGACAGGTGCTATCTGACCATGACCCAGGCATTAGAGGCAAGGCTGGGAGGATCACCATTTGGTAAGTTGATTAGTAAGGAAGCCTATGAGGTCCGTCTTCAACAGACACATAGATGGTCATTGGATCACCATTTGAAGAAAATTGTATTCTCTTGTCCTCAACTTCGCCTTTATTTTGATGCTGCTATATGCTAGTTCATTGCCCCAAACTGCACCTGAGGCTCTTGAACCCCCTGAGCTGTTCCACCACCATTCAGATCTGACCTACAAAGCTGTAAGTTCTCATGGAATATAACTCTAATGAATGTTAACCTTTAGTGATTGTTGTGTTAATTAAAATAAGTGCGTAGGAACATTTGCTACCAAAAGCACTATTAAACTCGACACAGCAGCCAGAATGGCGTCTGCAAATTTAACCTGTCTACTGGTTACCGTTCGGGAGGAGTTATTAGTTGACTGAAAATGTACAGGCAGACACATGGGTTTTCTGTTTTATAGTATAGATATGTGCCAGGAAATTTGAGCTTTGCACATCTTTCATTTTTGCCCTTTGCCCCACATAAAGCTAATTTCTCTATTCATTTTTCTTCTATCTATAAGCCTCATTCATTTCAGTTGAGTTGAGTTGAGTCAAGAGTTTACATGACAGCACTTGGGCATTTCCATCCTCATCTTCAGCAGCCAGCACAGAGTTCCTTTATTAATGGAGCCGGCATAATCTGGTTATATGTCCGTCTTGCCTTTTTGCTGAGTGTAGTGAGCCGGCCCCCTGGTTCCACCCAGGTGCCTCATTCTCTCAAGGCCATAATAATCTTGTTTTGCTTCTGACTCCGTCGCTTCTTTCCAAAGGGCCCTGACTACGTGTGCTTGTCATGTATCAGTTCACCACCCAGTGGTGCAGATCCAGCCAGTCAGTCTGCCCGTTCATTTCCCAACACGCCAGCATGGCCTGGAGAAAAGATCCAAAGTATGCTCACTACCCGTGACCTTTCCAGTGAACCTTACCACTCTGCTCGAGCATTTCTGTCTTCACCTTTCTCAGCATGCTTTCAGAGTCTGTTACAATTATGACATATGTATGCATCTTGTTCTTTAGCCACTGGAAAGCTGCAGTTACCGCCTCCACCTCCATTCTCATGCTGGATGTGGTTGTATATACATTTCAGTCAAGTCTATTCATTATCTAATAGTAACACCCGCAGCTCCTATCACTTGTTTCTCTTCCCTGCCTGTGATGTTCTATGCATAGTTGACAAACAAAAATAACAAACAAAAGATTAAATAAATAAAGATGTCATCTCTGTCAGCCTGTTCTCAGCATTGTTCCTTCTCTTGCTGTCTTTTGAACACTTGTTATGATTGATTAAAGACTGCAGCTACATTATTCTCTGGGATGAGATAACCAGTCTTTTCCTTAGTTATATCTTACAGTATAGTGAGATACAGTGTTACCTCTCTTTGCATCTTATAACAACACATGGAAGGTAAGTATTCTTTAAATGATAAGTAAAATCTCGTTAACATGAACTTGCTTAAGACGTATGCTCAGTTAACATGGCAGGGATGTGTGTGTTTTATTATAGAGTATTAGCGCCCCCCCCCCCCCCCCCCCCCCCCCCCCCCCTTCCATAAGCACAATTTTGTTTAAAGCGCTGGTTCTTGATTTTTCGGTCCTTTGGAATTTGTGTTTATAGGGTTTTACTGCAGAAGTTTTATTTTTGGTTCAGTAGTTTTTTGCAGCTGAATGGGTCAATCAAAGGCAGCATTTTAGAAAATGAAAAATATCGCTCTCATGTAATGTCAGAAAGAGGGTGCTAAAATGTTAATTGAACCTGTTCTGCTGTATGGCAGCAAATCTTGGAATGTCGGTGAACAAATTAAGAAGAATTGGGAAGCAACAGAGATGCAGTTTCTGAGACGAATGTTACGTATACCTTCGACGGCCAGAGTAACTAACTAGCATTTATTGTTTTAAAGAAGCTAATGAAAGTAGATCTCTATATACAACAATAAGAAGGAGACAAACGCTGTTCTTTGACCACCTAAATGAGAAGAGAGGCATTGGAAACCATAGTGACAACTGGTAAAATCAGTGGAAAAAGGCGTAGAGGGAGACCAAGAGAGATGATGCTGGATGGGCCGAAACAATGGCATGGAGGGATATCATCGAGAGAGCTGTTCCAGGCAACCAGGATCGTGATCTGTGAAGATGCATCAGCGCCTACGCCAACTGGCAAGGCACATGACGATGATGCTGATTTTGTTGCACGTATTATATGATTTCTTGTTGATTCATTGTTTCACTTTAGGTCCTGCTGGAACAGGAAAGACAGAGTCTGTCAAGGCTTTAGGCAACCAGCTAGGCCGTTTTGTTCTTGTCTTCAACTGTGATGAAACCTTTGATTTCCAGGTAAATGAACAGGTTTATGGTTAGGTTTTTTTAAACTCTTTGAGTCCCAGGGGGTTTAGTATCACAGGCCCAAGGGGTAGTCAAGAGAGACGTAAAATTGGCGCATCTTGCGTTAACTGGGCTTCTAGGTAGGAATCTATGAACGTATGATGCGTTTCTTGGGACTCAAAGAGTTAAGTGTTCAAATGCAAACATGTTTACCTTTTCTTATCATGTTTATATTTAAATGTGATATAATATTAGATGGATGAAACAAATATAGAGATAACATGCAGGGTAAATAAAATTATTTATATCAAACAAATGGACATGTATTGATTGGCAGTCATATAAAGTAGAAAGATAAAAGGTCATATTAAACAACAGAAAAATCAGCATGGTAAGATTCTCGGCATGGTAACTATAGCTTTCAATTTGAATGTTATCTGGTGTGTCCTACTATCTTTCAGCTTCTTTCTGTGGGTGCTGATCAATACATGTCTATTTGTTCGGTGTGTATGTATATATATATAATATGTTTCACTGGTTGCCCATCCATTTTTTTTTCCTTTGTAGGTAAATAAAAAAAAAAAATGTTAATTCTTGTAGGTTGGCATGACAAGCATCCAGTTTGAGCTAAGTAAGTTGCAGCTGAAATGACGTGATTGTTGCCTGCATCTCTCTTTCTGCCACAGGAATATCCTCTGTAGTAAACTTCATTCAGGCGAAGTGTGTTTGTGGTGGCCTGAAACGAGACTGTAGGTATCAGCGAAGAAGTATGGTATTAGTTTAGACTATTGGTCGAACATTGCTACTGATAATTCTTATTGTTTGATCTGCTCTTGTAAGCACATTTGGGCAGTTACAAATCAATGAAGCTATCTGAAAATATTTGCTTTTTGAACATTGAGAGCCCTATTATCTGTGTCTGGAATAGAGTTTTTGTAATTCTCCTCTGTCCATATCTAGGCTATGGGACGTATCTTTGTGGGTCTGTGCCAAGTTGGTGCCTGGGGCTGCTTTGATGAGTTCAACCGACTGGAAGAACGCATGCTGTCGGCCGTGTCTCAGCAGATTCAGACCATACAAGAAGCCCTGAAGGATCTGGCTAGCCCAGACAAGAAAGATAAAGGTAAGAATCAAAGAAATGTTTTAAAACTTTTCAAAACAATATTTTTGTAATTTTTTGTTTGTTTGTTGAGTCTTCATTTAGAACTCCAGAAGATGACAAACATCCCCAGTGTGATGGGCTTGATCTGTGTTCCTCTGTAGTTGTTATGATTGTTCTTGTCTAATGCCTGCAAAGATGGCTTTATATTGAATCCTTGATAATTTAAGTCTTGAGTTTTCCATCCATCGTGTGGGTTCTGGACCCCATTGTGGGGGGGGGGGGGGGGGGGGTAGACTCAATCCTCCCTAACAAGCATGTCATAAAAATTGACCAGTTATTGAGTGCCTGCCTGAGATGCAAGGAACCAGCAATCTGCATACAAATAAGCCAGATCGATAGAATGGATGTGCACATAAAAACTTAATTTCCTTAACTAGACCAACAAGCATGTTGTAAGAGTAAACTAATTGGGGATTTCCTTCAAAGGTGGAGAGCATCTGCCTGAGAGGCAGGGAACAAACAGTCCGCATACAGATAAGTCAGATCTGTAGACACTCAGATTCTGAAACAAGACTAAAGTCCAGAAGTTGACGAACAAGCAGAACTTTCTGCTGTAGTTTACAACTAGTGAGAAAAAAAAAAGAAGAATAAAAAGAGTTTTGGTGCGGCACTTCCATGAGGTGCGGTCATCAATTAGAGGCGACTGGTTTCAGTCTTGTTTTTGCCTCTAGCTTTCTTTGTCTATTGCCTAGTGCTTCTGCTCATATTTACTTTCCATTACTTCTGTGAGTATGAATGAATATATATATGATGACATGACTGTTGTCAGGAAGTGGACCCATCCTGGTGGAACTCATTGGGAAACAAGTGAAAGTGAACCCTGACATGGCTATCTTCATTACCATGAACCCTGGCTACGCTGGCCGCTCAAACCTGCCAGATAATCTGAAGAAACTGTTCCGTTCTTTGGCCATGACCCAGCCGGATCGCCAGCTGATTGCACAAGTCATGCTGTACTCACAAGGCTTCAGGCAGGCTGAGAAACTGGCCAGTAAAATTGTTCCATTCTTCAAGTGAGTATATGGTTTTTGTTTTTTTTGTTGTTCTTTGTAGGAAATCTGACCATTTCACACTTAGTAAATGAAGGACTTCATGTCACCACTGGGGCATTGAGTATATGGTGCTAGACTTATACTTTTATGGATCAGTTGGCACTCATTAGATTATGTGGTCAGCATTACACTGGCCAATTTCACTATCCAGGAAATTTAATAGACCAGGTTGACTTGAGATTGTTGGTCAGTTATTTAACAAACAAAAAACCACCCAAAAAAAAAACTTGGAAACAAATTGGATTTGAACCCAAGACCTTAAGGCTGGCAGTCAAGTATCTAGCCACTACGTTTCACAGCTTCCCTGATGGAGTACTGTTGAATTTGGTTCCCTTCATTCTGTTAAATGACAATTTGAATTTTGAGTTAGATGTTAAATCGACTACACCATGTTCATGCAAAATACAGTTTTAATAAGAGCACTTTGTCTTGTTTCTTGTTTTCTCGTAAGCTTGGTGACCGTAATTTTTTTTTTTCAATGAGCTGGTCACTAGAGCTTGGTGACCGTATATTTTTTTTTTTCAATGAGCTGGTCACTAGATGTTCTTTCTGAACTACAGAATATAAATAACAATGACAGTAATACTTTTTAAGCCTACTGCACGGAGAATCTTGAAAACTGGCAGTTCCGTTTTCCAACTTTGCTAAACGACCTGCTGAATGGCCTGTTCAGGAGGCACCTAGTGAATTTCACTATTGTTGCTTGCACAAGGCACACATTTAGGAGGAGTTCTAAGAAATATGGCTTCATTAATAGAAGTTATGACACCGTAATTTTCCTGCAACTGGGTCATAGGATAAAACATTAATTGCAGTAAACGGTGTTTTTAGACTTGAAGAAATATGATCAGTGGATTGTCTGCTGCATTTGTGTTTATTGATGACTTCCTGTACTCTGTATAGATTTTAATATTGTTTTATGAAATTGTTATACATTTTGTATGTGACTTGAGTCAAATAGTTTTGTTGTTGTTAAGGAGGTAGGGTGTCCCTAATTGTGGGTCGTCTTGAAGTCAGATATTCATGATGCAATCCTGCCTTGAGGACTGAAACCTGAAACCATCTGGTCACAAGGCAGTGCACTATCAAAACTCTTATATTGTCAGGTTTTGTATGTTTTTGAGACAACACTTCATTTTTTACTATGGAAATTGCATTGTCGCTGTGATATAGCAAGGCACTTCTTCTAACAGAGTTTCTTTATCTTTTCACTAGGCTATGTGATGAACAGCTGTCACCACAGTCTCACTATGATTTTGGCTTGAGAGCTCTCAAGAGTGTGCTGGTCAGTGCTGGCAATGTTAAGAGAGACCGCATTCAGATGGTCAAGCAAGGCATGGTCGAGAGAGGAGAAACCATGGATGAATCATCCATTGCTGAAAATGTGTCAGAGCAAGAGGTTATATATATTTTTTTTTTAAACTGTCTCGTTTTTATTTGCTTTCAGACATTTGTCTTTTTTTCCCCTCTTTTTAAGAAAGGGAAAGTTGGCAGTATGTCTAAGGCTTCTTGCACCTTCATATTTGTGTTCACTGACAGTAAACTCCGTCAGAAAACTCTGGTTATTCATCGACTTGTCGACTTTAATCTTGTTCCAGAACTCAAGTTTTGTGTGCACACCCATTTTACACATCTGGCTTATTTGTATACAGACTGTTGGTTCCTGACATCTCAGGCAGTGCACTCTGACTCTGAAGGAAGTAATCCTAATTAGTCACGTTTTTTTGTCTTTTTATTGTTGTTGTTGTAAATAGTTACATTTGGATTTCTAGTGAATGACTTTTTTTTTTTTCAAACTAGTTCCTCTTTCTAGGACATACTGCCTATCTTTCTACCAGTCTGCTTCACATTTTAATGTCATTAAATGAAATGTCCCACGTATTTAGTCATTAAAACAGCAATATACATTTTATCTTATCCTGGTCTGTTTGTCTGTAGCTGCAACCCAACAAAAATAATGTATTTATAATTCATATCTGCAGTGTCAAATGTAATAGGGTAAAATTTAATTTACTCTAATCTAGTAACACCATGTGTGATATCATATTTCCCGCAGTAACATTTACTGTTAACATGACATCTTAATAGCATCAATTGTAATGTCATTTCACATCTCAAAATTTACTTTTGGCCTGCCTGCCTACGTGCTTCTGGCAGAACCATCCATAATGTGATATTTCATACGCTAACTAGGGCTGTCCAACTCAGTTTACTCAGGAGCCAAAAGTGTGGTGAACTTGTGAATGGTCATGGGCCACAAGCCCAAGCTCCAGGGTAGAAAGATCCATATTACAGAACAGTCAATAATGATCCGCAGGCCACTTACTAGGCCTCCAGTGACCATATTTGGCTCACGGGCTGCCAGTTGAATAGCCCCTTGTTACATCCATAATGGAATAGTCATATGTTAACATTTACTGTTGATCTGTCTGCATCTTATAATAATATCTTTGCCTTCTCCATTCTAGATTCTCATTCAGAGTGTGATGGAAACAATGGTTCCCAAACTGGTGGCTGAGGACATCCCTTTGTTGCACAGCCTGCTGAGTGATGTGTTCCCAGGTGTGGAATACACTGCGGCTGAAATGACAGCTCTCCGCAAACAGATCAGGAAAGTCTGTGAGGAGCTCAACCTGGTCTATGGCGAAGGTGATGAGATGGGAGCTCAGTGGGTTGAAAAGGTAGCTTTCTTATCTTCTCACATTGAATATTTCATACATTACCTTTTTTAAAACTCTTGGAGAAGAATTTTAATTTTTAGCAAATATGATCTATTTTTTAAATGAAAATCTATTTAAAAAAAAATTACATCATATCTTGTGGCTGAATATTATGACTGTTTAAAAAAAACAACTTAAAAACACATATTTAACTCTTTTTGCCTCCAGAATACTAAAATCAACGGGGCATGGGCCCCTGGGAATTTCCTTAAAAATCTTTTAAAAAACAATTTTATACAATTAAAAGTAATAAATTGTTTACAAATTATTTATCTACATTTTTGTTTTCAAATATAAAAAGATATATAAAGGAAGCAATCACTAAACAAGAACAAAGTAAAGCGATAAATGGAATCCATTCCCTGGGGCCTACAACAAATATGTATCGATTGACTCATGCCGTGACTCATCACCTTTACCAATGAGGCTCACTGGAAAATTTTTAGGTCAGCCTGCCTTTAATTTTCTTTAAAAAGCTATTGAATTTACAAGAAAATCAATTGGGGGCCGCGTTAGCGCAGTTGATAGAAGACTCAGTCTCTAATCCAGGTGCAACTTGCTGCAGTCCACGCCTGGTGTTTAAAAACGGGCGGTTCCCGGGCTTCACCCAGCCTCTAGGTAATGAGTACCAGAGTTCATACTCTGGGGTAAACGGAGAAACGTCGCTGTAGATACGGAGTTGTGTGCGGACGGCAACACAGACGGACAGTATCTTATCAGCTGTCCGTACTGGTGGCAGAGCACTTATGGTGTATAATCGTGTGCAATGAAGCTGGTTCTCATCTCACGACTTTACCTTTTTTTTTTTTAACAAGGAAACCCCTCTAAATGTGTTTTTTTAGGTTAACATATTTATATCCTGGCCTTCTAAGCACTGTGCTGGCACACATAGAACCAGTAGCATTCAACTACACTATAAACAGTGGTGTGCTTAGAAATGCTTAAAGTTCCTTTTGTTCCTTCTGATTTCAGGTGCTTCAGTTGCACCAGATCACACTGCTGCATCATGGTCTAATGATGGTGGGGCCCAGTGGCAGTGGCAAGTCCAAGGCCTGGCAGGTGCTGCTCAAAGCTCTTGAGAGGCTGGAAGGAGTCGAAGGAGTAGCTCATGTCATTGATCCAAAGGTGTGGTATATGCTTTATTTTGGGTACTGTTTATTGTTGTTCTTTTACCACTACAGTTAAATTATTTTGTGTGGTGAGGGACTCATGAAGTGATTAAGAATCTGTTGGATGTGGGGAGTGACTCATGAAGTGATTAAGAATCTCTAAAGGGCGGTGAGTGATTCATAAAGTGATTAAGAATCCCTTGGCTGATGGCAAAGAACATGAATATCCCAAATACAAAAAGAAGGAATTCACGATAGTTCATCATCCATGTATAGACAAAGCCACCCAATAGTTACTGGGAACTGTAACGGAAGCATGAAATAGTAGCACTGACAGTAGCCACCCATGAGTTACTAGGAACTGTAGAGAAACATGGAATAGTAACCCTGAAAGTAGCCATGCTTGAGTTACTAGGAACTGTAAGAGAAACATGGAATAGTAACCCTGACAGTAACTACCCAAGAGTTACTAGGAACTGTAAGAGAAACATGGAATAGTAACCCTGACAGTAACTACCCAAGAGTTACTAGGAACTGTAAGAGAAACATGGAATAGTAACCCTGACAGTAACTACCCAAGAGTTACTAGGAACTGTAGAAAAACATGGAATAGTAACCCTGACAGTAGCCACCCAAGAGTTACTAGGAACTGTAAGAGAAACATGGAATAGTAACCCTGACAGTAACTACCCAAGAGTTACTAGGAACTGTAAGAGAAACATGGAATAGTAACCCTGACAGTAACTACCCAAGAGTTACTAGGAACTGTAAGAGAAACATGGAATAGTAACCCTGACAGTAACTACCCAGGAGTTACTAGGAACTGTAGAGAAACATGGAATAGTAACCCTGACAGTAACCACCCAAGAGTTACTAGGAACTGTAAGAGAGCATAGAATAGTAATACTGAAATGATGCTTATTGGAAGGGGCAACTAAGTAGGCTTGACATAACCTGACTACTTCATTCCATCCAAAAATTCAGCAGCTTAAACATTGTTTTCTTTATTCGATACACTTAATAGGATTTTTGATTTCCAGTTTAAATTGATGTGAAACCAAAATATGTCTGCCTGTGTATTTGCAGTCAATATCCAAAGAAGCCCTGTATGGTAACATGGATCCCAACACAAGAGAATGGACTGATGGTCTCTTTACCCATGTCCTGAGAAAGTAAGTGTTCAAGTTAAGCATATTATCTGGAATGTTTGGCCTTGTTCTTTTCATTATTATGGACACTTTCTTGTAGAGTTGCTGTAGTAGCATGTCTCTTGAGTTAGGTGGCCTCAAGTTTGGTTCTCCTTTGAGATTTATGTTTATATGAATCCAGGGTCAGTGCCTTGTGAAATGAGTACCAGAATAAAAGTGTTAAGTAGCAAGGTGACTCTGTTGTTGCATTCTTAATTGACATATGTGATTAGTTAAACACCATCATCATCATGTGGTGACTTCAGAGCAAAGGGTCGGCTGTGGGGAAACACCACGATTAACAGATAGGGTGAGGCATTGCTGGAGGCACTGACAGATACAGAATTGATCTGTTTAAACGATGGCAGACCCACCATAATCCCCGACAGAGAAGGCAATACGGACAGCACCCTTGATCTCACTCTGGTCTCTCCCAGCATGCGTGCACTCCTCTGCCAGTGGGGTGGAATGGAACATCATGGAAGTGACCTTCCATGCGCCATTTTGGTCAAGAAAACAACACGTACAAGGTCCCAGAAACAAGATGCCATTTTTAAGTATGGGGTACACCAGTCTGATGTAATTGGTTTTTTATGAGACAGAGTACGCAGAACACTGGGGCAGATAAAAGATGTCTATCAACAACCCCCATGGTGGACATCTGAAGTAGCCAAGGTGTGGACAGAAAAACAAATTGCCACCAGCGAATGCAAGAAATGTGGAAAGTTTAAGAATATCTGATGCTCATAAACAAGCCATGAAAAAAAAAAAAAAGAAGATAACCTCACGGAACACTGTAAACAAATAGCAACGGAGGCTTAGCACATGGCATGGGAGACATTTTGCAATGAAAAAGGGTATGAAAAATTCCTCTTATAACATTTTGAAGATTTTTTTCTGAAATTTTTTTGGGGCTCTGTTTTGTTTTTCTAGATAGCATTACTCTGTAGGCAGAAGGCAGCACCTGTGTAATACAGCCATTCATGTAGCAGAAACTTTTCATTTTAACAATGAATATGTTTCCCCCTTCTCTTCCTCAGGATCATAGATAATGTGAGAGGTGAACTGGGAAAACGCCAGTGGATCATCTTTGATGGTGATGTGGACCCTGAGTGGGTAGAGAACTTGAACTCTGTCCTGGATGATAACAAGCTGCTCACCTTGCCAAATGGAGAACGTCTGGGCATACCACCCAATGTGAGTAAAGCATCATAAGTACATTCCTTTTGTGGGTTCCATGGGTTCCTTTGGGGGAAGGGGGGGGGGGGGGGATAGACATGTACATGCTCATTCACTCACACATTTACACCCTGCCCCCCATCCTTTTCCTCCCCCCCCCCTCCCCCCAACAAGCTTGTCATCAAAGGTGACTACGAGACGCACACCAGACACACTAGAAGACTTGTTAATCAACATAGAACTGGTACTATTAGCCATCGGACGTTGGGGTTCATATTGAGGGGAGAATCTGAACACCTATGGACATGTCTGGAGTGCAGTGATGATAACCCAACTAACTAACTAACTAACTAACTAACTAACTAACTAACTAACTAACTAACTAACTAACTTACTAACTAACAAAAAGGTGACTAATTAGGCATTGGCTGAAATTGAATGTGTTGGGTTGAAAGGTGCAGATACTGTAGTCTATCTGTAAACCACAACATGACATGCCAACCACCCTTTTACCGGCAGATGCAGAAGAAGAGGATTAGTATACACACGGAATATCTTATGATATAAAATGGGTTATTATCAAAAGGTTAATACATTTGAATGATGAGTGTACAGTTGTGCAAGAACACACACTGAGTAAATATAACAGATGTAATCTGTGCTCTGTGTTGAAGGAAACTCATCTCATTTGTGCTTTTACTAGGCAATTTTTATGCCAGGTAGTTTGTCACCCAAAAATAACAATAAATGATGAAGAAATTGAAAAAGTCACAAACTTTGAATTTATTGGCTCTATAATAAACAGCAATGGAGACTGTTCAACAGAAATTAATGGCCATAGCAATGCAAAGATTGAACAGCCTTAAAAGTCTATGGTTAAGCACCAGCAAGGAGATAAAAATTAGAATTTTGAGAGCATGCCTCTTCCCTGTGGCTACATACGGATGTGGGTCGTGGACTATCTCTCAGTCCTTAAGAAAGAGAATAAGGGCTTTTGAGATGAAATGCTATAGAAAGATTCTCAGAATATCTTGGACAAAGAAGAGAAAAAATATTGACATCTTGAAAGATCTGAACATCAGGGAAGACTGGCTAATAAACAGCATCCTTTCTCAGAAGCTGAAATATTTTGGTCATTTCAAGCGCCACAACGGATTGGAAAAAATTATAGCAGAAGACATGGTTCCATGAAGGAGGGGCAGGGGCCGACCGACACGGAGATGGGCACAGGATATAAGTGACTCCTTGAGTATGAAAGTACATGAGGTGGGAGAACTGGCGAGAGACCGAGTTTCTTTCAGGCAGACTGTGATGAGAGCGACGTTCTGCAAAGGACCTGCTACATGATGATGATGATGAGTTTGCTGTTGCTCTCAGTATCACCGTCCATACGAATGCAAGACAGTCTGCTGCCAAATTGCCTGCAGCTTGTATCGAACTCGATACTTCAGAATTAAGAAGCATGTTGACAGCCCCTAAACCACAGATGCCTACCCGTAGAAAATCTTTAAATGTTTTCTTTGTTTTGGTCTGACATTTAGGTGCGCATCATGTTTGAGGTGCAGGACCTCAAATATGCAACACTTGCCACAGTGAGTCGTTGTGGTATGGTGTGGTTCAGTGAGGATGTGCTGTCTACAGAGATGGTGTTTGAGAACTACCTGCAGCAGCTGCGCAGCATCCCCCTGGAGGAGAGTGAAGAAGATGTCAGACACAGCAGGACTTCTGGAGAATCCAAGGAAGAAGAGGTTTCCCCAACTCTCCAGGTGACTATTTATGTTAATGTTTCATCTTGTTTCATTTTGGTGGTTGATTTGTTTCACTGAGCTGTAATAAAAGTACATCATTGAGATGTTTCAAACCATTGTTTTGTCTGAGGAGTGAATTTAAAAGGAAGTTTGATCTTTGCTGCAACCATTTTGTGAGCAAGCTAATTGTTTTTAACCACAGATATAATTTTATCTTCCTTGTTTACTCTCAGACCTCCTCACTGAGTACCTCAATAAAGTTACTTTTAAGTTCAGGCAATCACAAACTTCTTTTTTGGTAGAAGTTTAAATGATATAGACGCAGGCACAATTCATTGCACAATTTATTGCCAGGCATATTTTGCTGTATCTCGTGGGCTGCATTACTACAGAGTTATGTCAGCAAATAATAAGCACAAAAATTGAATTAATTCCACTGAAATACACATCACGTGGTCTCTCAATACAAAGTTCATCTAATTACTGAAAGTTCAGGATAGTCACATGGCCTTTGAGGGTAACTTAAAAGTTATAACAAACCTCTTCTATTTAGGTAATGGGAATTGATCATTCTTATTGATGGTCTACCAGTCTAGCATTCGCCTGTTCGGTATGTGGTAGATGACATGAAAAGCACCGTCCTTGTTGGTTGCATGTCCAGAATCAAGCAGATGATGTCCTATAGAAGAGTTGGGCTCTTTCCTGTTGTTTGGTTTGAACACCCTAGTAGAATTAATCAGTCTTGTGTATTTAGCCATTTGGGTATATGTTCTCCCACTGTTTTCAATTTGTCTCTCGTTTCAACCAGTGTTAATTCGGCTGGTACTTACGTGTAAACATAAGGAAGTTGGCAAATGTTCGATTAGTTTATTTTAGTGAAAGATGTGAGAAGCAGCTGACCGAGAGGTTAAGAGCATTAGGCTCTTATTCAGGAGACCCAGGTTGGAATCCTTAGTAAGAAATTGATTTTTTGTGTGTGTGGGTAGGGGCAAAAATCCCAACCCTCACAGTTCAGGCTGAATGCACTAGCAATGCGACTCTAAATCCTCAGGTTCAAGACTCCCTATGTCCTTCACCTTTCTAAAATGTTGTAGAAACAGGCAGTACAGACAGGTCTGTTTTCTAGTGTAAGGTGTACAGGACTGTTGTATGTGTACATTCATAGGATGATTGCCACTTTTTTTAGTTTAATATGCGCTAATTTTTTCAGTGCTATATTAATATCCTACCCCAAACAGGGGAAATCCATAGGTCACGGGACAGTCTAATATTTTAGAGGGGCGGTAGATAGGCTGCAGTCGTGAGACCTACGCTGCATGCATTCATGGGACCTAGGCTGCACCCTCTCTTAGGGTTAGGGCCAGTTCTAGATGTTTTGGGGTCATTAAAAGCATCAGAAAGCCGGGAAACCCAGTCTTACCACCCTCTAAAATGTTGGACTGTTCTGGGGTTGGAAATGGATAAAGAACCATATTTTCAAAATGACAATCTCCTGTGTTGTGATTTTTCACTGTTAGATCCAAAGAGATGTGGTCAACATACTCAGCCCTTATTTCACACTGGATGGACTTGTCAACCGCTGTCTGGAACATGCTGAAACACTGGACCACATAATGGACTTCACAAGACTCAGGGCTCTCACCTCACTGTTCTCAATGCTGAACCAAGGCATTCGCAACATTCTCAACTACAATCACGCTCATGATTTTTCAATGCAGGTAAGTCTGTGGCACAAGCGGTGAATAGTTTACAATGTGATCTAGCATTTGTTGGTATAATGATGGATTGCTTTGCTTTTAAAAAGAATATTTATTACACACTGAAACATTAATCTGTGAATTCCATCTGTCAAAGTCTCAGCTTATTGAGTTGAGTCAAGAATTGACATCGCAGCACTCGGGGCATTCCCATGTGTGCTCTGTCCTTATCTTCAGCAGCCAGCACAGAGTTCCAGTACTGATAGTATTAGTCACAATCTGGTTAAATGTCTGTCTTGCCTTTCCTCTGAGTGTAGTGAGCCGGCCAGACCCTCTGGTTACACCCAGGTGCCTCATTCTCTCCAGGCCATAATCTTATTTCTTTACTGATTCCTTTTGCTTGTTCCCAAAGGGGCTTGACCACATCTGCCTTGTCATGCATCAATTCACCACCCAGTGGTGCAGATCCAGCCAGTCTGTCTGCCCGTTGATTACTCACCACACCGGCATTAGCTGGAGAAAAGATTCAGCTTATTGAATGTATTCCAGAGCACCTGAATGTGCAGGACACAATCAGTACATAAAAATGTCTCATTTTCACATCCTGTTGCATATTTGGCAGGTGATGTTAGCCCCAGAATTTTAAAGACCAAGCAATACTGAGTGGGTGATGTCCACGTTATAACGGCTGCTTTTACTTCCAGTGAAATTTCTCTTGATTCCCATTTAGGGTAGCTCAACCAGAGAGCCAAAATCATTTTTAAAATCTTGCTTCGATGGGGACCAGTAAGCTGGCAATTAAGATCATATGAAGGGAGAAATGATAAGTAAACAGAAAGTAGAAAATGTAAAGGATCCTTTTCCCTACCTTTAGGCATATTGGCATATAGGGCTAGATCTATTTTTTATAGATCTATAATCGACACTTGGTGGGTGATGTGATCAGCATCGTGCCAGCCACCTTTACTTCCCAGGACTTTACCTTGTACTCACTCAAGGCTGGGTTGACCTGGGACCCTAGCTGCTACACCTACATAAACAAAGTGAGGTGTTAAATGGAATACACTCCCCGGGGCCTTAGAAAATTATGTATCTGATGATCATGCTGTGTCCCTGACGTGACCTTTAATGGTAAGACTGATGAAAAATTATGATGTAATGGCTTTAAAAAAAGCCATGGTTCACAAGGGCCCCCCCCCCCCCCCCAGTTTAGTAAATATATTCAAATTTTGAACTCCTAAGCACTACAGGCACAAAAACAACTGGCATTAACTAGATGTCTTGTAAAACACTGTAGAAATGCCAGATTGGCGGCATTTAGAGATATATATATATATGACAACTTAGGCAGAGTTCAGTGTTAACCAACTTACTCTGTCACTTCTACAGCAAGACCAGATGGAGCGCTACATGACCAAGTACCTGGTCTACAGTGTTCTGTGGTCCATGTCCGGAGACAGCCGCATCAAGATCAGACAGGAGCTCGGGGATTTCATCCGAAGCATCACCACAATACCCCTGCCTCCGCTGCAATCAAATGCCCTGATCATTGATTATGAGGTAACCCTTTTGTTCCTTGATGTTGATCATTGAAATCCTGTGTTAATAATCTAAATGTTCGAGTCTTGGTAGTTCAGGGAAGAAAGAGTTAAAAGAAAGACAGTAGAGTGCATATTCTGTGTTTATAATATCCCCATGTGAGTTCCTGGGGCCCCATTTTAGAAGAACCGCCCCACTGCCCCTACAAGCATGTTGTAAAAGGCGACTAATTAAGGTTTTGCTAAAAAGTATAATGTATTGGACAGAGAAGCACAGATATCGCAGCCTAGCTATAAACCACAACACAACATGTCAAACACCCTTTTGTTGATGAACACATAAGATATTTGTTTTATTTGCAAGATTGCAGTAACAGACATAGAAAATGGCCTAAAGAAACTCTTCTTTGTTACATTCATCAGCTGTAAAGTCCTTGTTTTTTGTTCCACTTATTGCAGGACTTGAGTTTAGCAAGCAGACCCCCTCATGCAGCTAAACTTTTCTGCAGTCATTCTAGAAACAGGTTCCCAACCTGGTCGCCAACATGAATAGGATCAATGTTTACTTCAGAGTCAGAGTGCATGGGCTTGTTTTGGCAAGAAACCAGATTTCTGCAGGCGAATAAACCAGATCTGTAAAATTGTGTGTGCAAAACTCAAGTCCTGGAGCAAGGTCAAAGTTTAGAAGTGAGCAAACAGCCAGTTTTTTCGGTCAGAGTTTACGGCTGGTGAATGTAAACATGAGGAAAAAGATCAGACAGACAATTATTAGATATTGGAAAACATTGTAAAAATCAATAATCAGATAATTAGACCTCCTATCTTTCTTTCTATTTAAGGCAGTGCTAACCTTTTGAAACTAAATTGTATACTATTTAATTTTTGCATTCTGGTATGATATAGGGTTTTATATTGAAGACCTGAGATCGATAAAATCCTGTCAAACTGACTGTGCACTCAATTTTTGCTATGGAAACCAAGATAAACAAGGGCAATATTGGATTTGTTGTGATAGGTCTAAAACCACCATTTTCATATGTACAGGCTCATAGCCCCTTTACACAAATATAGAACATTTTTGTGATATCACTTAGCATTTCTTTTCCACCTAATGTTAAAAATTTAGCATATATTTTTAGAAAATGTTTGTGGCTTTCCGACTGCTGCACAAAAACTAAATCTTAGTTTCACAAACGCTCTTGTATTTGCATAAGTAATACAGTGTTAAATAAGTGTACAAAGTTTTATTATAATCAGACAAGCAGTTTTTGAGAAAAATATATTGCAAGCTGAAAAACTGCCAAAATGGGAAAAGGGCATGTAGTTCATTTTTCATCTTCAGTTTGGCAGCTCGTACACTGTCTCCACAAACTAATGCAGCATAAACAGAAACTAATGCAGAATAAACAGACTGGTTTTTATGGTAAAAGATCTATCCCTATTATTACTTCTTGAAGCTAGGTATCTTCCAAAAACTACTTCTTCACAATAAGAGCAGTAAACTTCAGCATGCACAGCTAATCCTCGAGTTTTCTTGCTGTCAGTTTCAAGATAAGACCAATATTTTTATATAGTGGACAACACAACGTTTTGGTGATTTCATCAATTTAGGAAAAGTCAACTTCTCTTTTCTCCAGTTTTTCTGTGTCCACTATTATTAACAGAAACACACATGCTGCTAGAGGAGATCTTATACTGGCTTCAGGTTTTTTGTTGTTGCAAGAACAGTGGCCCCAATTCACTGTTTTGAACACCTGCACATGGCCTTAAAAAGCAATACTTAAGAAAAATATATAGTAAAATCAGCTTTAGATTTATATACCCAGATTATAAAGTAAGTAAAGTACCCTTTTCACGCTGTCATGCATGTTGGGCAAATAGGGCTAGACCTATATTTTTATAGACCAGTTGGCACTTGGTGGATGACGTGGTCAGCATCACACCAGCCGCCTTTACTTCTTTAAGACTCCACCCGGTACCCATTCAAAGCTGGGTTGACCTGGGAGCCAAGGTAGTTTTTCTAAAAAAAAAAGTCTAGTACCATCAGGACCCGAACCCACGACCTTCCAGTCTGCAGGCAAGCGTCTAGCCGCCACACCACAACAGCTCCCATACCCAGATTATATTCAACTAAAATACAAGATTGTATAAAGATTGTGACCACATTCAGAAACTAACTCAGATAACAATATTACTGATGTAATTGTAATTATATTTTGTTTTGCTGAAATTTCAGGTGTCCACGTCTGGAGAGTGGGCTGCCTGGCAGTCAAAAGTACCTCAGGTTGAAGTTGAGACCCACAAGGTGGCGGCCCCAGATGTGGTCATCCCAACCATTGACACAGTTCGGCACGAGAGTCTCCTGTACACCTGGCTAGCAGAGCACAAGCCGCTGGTTCTCTGTGGGCCTCCAGGCTCTGGCAAGACAATGACTCTTTTCAGTGCTCTTAGAGCTCTTCCCGATATGGAGGTGAGTGACAGCCTGTAAACTCGGGCAGAAAGTTCATGTTGTTTGCCAACTTCTGGACTTTAGTCTTGTTCTAGAACTTAAAAGTTGAATTGAAAATCTGCTTCGTAGCACTTGAGATACTCCCTTAAGCGCTTCATCCCCATCTTTAGCAGCAAGCAAAGAGTTTCTGTTCAGATGGTACCAGTAACTGTCTGTGCATCTGTCTTGCCTTTCCCTTGAGTGCTGAGCATCAGTCAAATCCCCTGGTAACTTTCCTCAGTGCCATTCTTCACAGGCCGTAATGATCTATTTGTGCCTCCACACTGTTCACTCGCTCCCAAAGGGCCCTCAAGACATCTGGCTTGTCATACATCAGTTCACTAGCAAGTGGTGCATAACCGGCCAGTCTGTCTGCCTGCCGTTTCCCAACACACGAGCATACCCTGGAAAAAATATCCAAAAGATGCTAACTACCTGGGAACTCTGAAGTGATGCTTGCCACTCTTCACAGAGAATACCCGTCTCCACCTTTCTCAACATACTCAGTGAGTCAGTTACAATCATGGCATGTGTGTACAGCTGATTCCCAGGCCAGCGGAAGACTGCAGTGACTGCCTTTACCTTCATTCTCAAGTTAGACGTTGTTATATCACATGCCAGGCTTTGTTGCACTAGGCGACGTCCATTCATTATAGCTATGAACCCAGAACTTGAATTTTGCTTGCACCTCTGTTTTACAGATATGGCTTATTTGTAAGCATCTGTTGGTTCCTGGCCTCTCGGGCAGATATGCTACGACTTTAAAGGGAACACCCCTACTTAGTAACCTGTATGTAATGTTTCAGGGGGCAGTGGGTCAATTCATTTCCCCTCCAAAATGGGTCCCATGTGAATTCACACAGGGAAAATGGTAATTACAAAGCATATGAAATATCCATGTCCATTAAGTTGCTAACTGATGTTTAGACCATGCTTATGACTTTAAGAATCACATCCTAGGTTTCCGTCCTGCTGGTCAAGGCCCTTTGGGAACAAGCAACAGAATCGGTAGAGAAACAAGATTATTATTGCCTGGAGAGAATGAGGCACCTGGGTGTAACCAGAGGGTCTGGCCGGCTCACTACACCCAGAGGAAAGGCAAGACAGACATATAACCAGATTGTGACCGGTACCATCAGTATTGAAACTCTGCACTGGCTGCTGAAGATGAGGACAGAGCACCCATGGGAATGGCCCGAGGGCTGTGGTGTCAATTCTTGACTCAACTCAACTGGTCAAAACCCAGCTATTCTGTTCGTCATTAATAGAAATTATAATTAGCGTAACCATAATTAGCATAACCAGTAAGTGGTGTACCCTGCAGTCTTTAATGCTAAACAGAAATGTGAACAGTTAATCACATCTCTCAAGCCCCCCCCTGAAAAAAATCCATGGTCTTAAGTATTTCTATTGTCTTTTCAGGTGGTAGGTTTGAACTTCTCCAGCGCAACCACCCCGGAGCTGTTGCTGAAGACATTTGACCACTACTGTGAGTTCAGGAGGACACCCAATGGACTTGTGTTGTCTCCCATACAGCTCAACAAGTGGCTGGTTCTGTTCTGTGATGAGATCAATCTACCAGACATGGACAAATACGGTGAGTAGTCTTCTTAGTGATCATCGGCTGTAAACTGTGGTAAATCATTTTGGTTGTTTGTCCACTTCAGGACTAAAGTTCTGGTCTAATTCCAGAATTTGAGTTTTGTGTGTACATAGGTTTTACAGATCTGATCTATCTGTATGCGGACTGTTAGTTCCTCACCTCTCAGACATATGCACTCCGACTTTAAAGAAACGCCTGTGAATAGACAGTCTTATCAGTCCTGCTTATCCTTACTGATAAAAGCTACTATGCCTGAAACATTGGTCTTATATGCCATTATCATGCATCTTATTGCCTTTCTTAGGTATTATATACTCTTATTAATTTTCTGATAATTTGTTCATAATTGAGATATTTCAATTTATGGTCTGCTGTACTGTGTTTTTACATAACTCTTAACACTTCTTTTTTTTTTTTTGCTACTATTTCTACATTTACCATTAATTAATAAAGGAAAGTTGGTACGCTGCATTGTGGTTTATGGCTAGGCTGTGTTATCTGATACTTTTGGGCCCTACACATTTAATTTTATCTACTCCTTATTGAGTCACCTTTTGCTTCATCACTGATTTCCACTGCTGGTAAGTGTGCCCTGATTATATGTATGTTTGAGGAGAACCACATTGCTAAGGCCTTTGAAGAGTTGACCCGTGCATCCATACACCCGGATGAGATGCGATCAAAGTTCACTGTGCATTGCTTTGTCAATCTCCTGGCGGTCTCTTTCATGTTGGGACATCAAGATGTCATCAGCCTGCTGCTGAAGGGGCAGTGGGTATAACAGATCCCCCCCCCCCTCCCTCCCCAACCAAATAGGCCCTGTGAATCCACACAAGGAATACCTTTTTGGTTACTTTTTAACTAGGCAAATCCTGCTGTATTTTATATTTTCTCCTGCTCAAAGACAGTTTGACAGTAAAATATACTGCTAAAAAAAATGCATAGTTATCCAGTGACAGTTTTTTTAAAGTTATTGGGAAAGCCTGTACGCCTAAAAATATTGACATCCCAAGTGCGAAAGAACTGTCAATTGATTGGTTGAATCGTAAGGTATTCTTGTGTGCAATTTAAACAATTTAACTGATTTATTTACAAAGATTTGAATGTGAAAATTATGTTCCTTTCAGTAGCAGTAGCTATGGTTGTGTTGTTGTTTTTTTTTTTTAAAATACCATTTTTTTACAATAAACAAATTCTAAAGTCAACAGTAGAAATCCTCGATGTGGTTTCTGGGCTCCCATTGTGGGGAAAAACCAGAATAGATCCACTGCCTACCCAGCAAGCATGTCATAAGCATGTCCTTTGAAGTCACAGTGCATCTGCCTGAGAGGCAAAGAACCAATAGTCTACATACAGATAAGTCAGGTCTGTAAAATGGATGTACATGCAACACTCCAATTCTGGAGCAAGACTAAAATACAGACGTGGGCGAACAACAAGAACTTTCTGCTGGAATTTACAACCTGTGAAAGTGAAGAAGAATGAACAGTAGCATGTATGTAAATGACCAGTTACTCAGCAGTTGTAGCTTCAAAAGCCCCTTGAAGTCATATTATTTGGTGATTTATTGACATGCAGGTTTTACCTTTCCTCAGACAATAGATACATTTAAATGTTTTTTTTTTTTTTCACTTGCTTGCAGGCACCCAGCGTGTTATTTCATTCTTGCGTCAGATGGTGGAACATGGAGGCTTTTACCGCACCTCAGATCAGGCATGGATCAAGTTTGAGCGCATTCAGTTTGTTGGAGCTTGCAATCCACCAACTGACCCAGGCAGAAAGCCTCTCTCATACAGGTAAAATCTGCTTTAATGTTTTCAAGATCAGAACTCTGAAAGCAGCAAGACAAAAGCCACTGATCATTTGCTGTAATAATGGTTTTAGCAGCATTGATGATTTCTGTTTAAGGATTATTGAAACATTTTCAATGACTCTGAAGACATTTTAATCCTAAGACGCTGGCTTGGCAAGCAGGTTCTCAAGATATTAGACCACTGTGACTCCTCACGTCTGGCTGTATATATTTGTAACCCGGCATCTGCAAGTTAGCTGAAATCTGCATAGTCGGTGCATAAAGAATCACTTTCATTACTTAAAAGAGCTTCAGTCTTGTTCATACAAAGAGAATCTCATTACCGTACGCAAGCTCCATAGCAACCTGAGTGTGCTAGAATACGATAAACTCCCTGTATGGGTTCCGCGGCACTTTTTTGGGGAGGGGGAGAATAGACCCATTGCCTCCACAACAAGCATGTTGTTAGAGCAGACTAATTAGTCGGAGATTACTGCCTTAGAGGCAAACAACCAACAGTCTGCTTACAAATGAGCCAAATCTGTGAAACAGATATGCATGCAAAACTTAAGTTCTGTAACAGGAATAAAGTCCAAAAGTGGATGAACAACCAGAACTTTTCACTGCAGTTTACAGTCAGTGAACATGAAGAAGAAGAAGATGTCTGCTAAGGAAGGTGACCGAATACAAATAAATCTTCTAGGTATTCAGTAATAAAGACATTTTTGTTTTGCTGTTATTAATTGAGGCATCCTTCCCAATCCAGGTTCCTTCGTCATGTTCCGGTTGTGTACGTGGACTACCCAGGAGAGATTTCCCTGAAACAGATTTATGGCACCTTCAACAGGGCCATGCTTCGGCTGGTGCCCAGTCTGAAACCATATGCTGACCCACTGACCAATGCAATGGTGGAATTCTACATTTTGTCCCAGGTTGGTTGTTTGTTATCAAAATCAGGCATCTCTGCACATAGGGCATTTCCATGCATGCTTAGTACTCTAATATAGCAGCCATTCCAGGGTACATCTGCTGTTTGTTCTTATGAGGAACTGGTTGCTTCTATTGTAGTCTCGAAGCTGGCATGGACATGTTAGGTGCATATGTACAGATGCGCGTACATGTACATATTTGAGTTTGTGTGTGTGAGTTGAAAAAAAAAAAAGTTAGTTGGATATCCTTTAGAGGATGTCGTAAACCAACTCCTGTATTTGCTAGCTGTTTTTGGTTTTACTAGTCAGTTTTTACATTTAGTAGTTAGCCGTTTCCTACAGAATAGTCAGCTCTCAATACCATTGTCGAAAACACCACAAAACAATCTGCTGCCAAAATGCTCCCATCTGGAATTGAACTGAGTATCTTGGAATTACAACTTGGCAAACCCCAAGCCTCTGATGCTGATGATAGTCAGTGTTTTTTTTAAAGATAATACATTTTGAACTGATTATGAAGGTCAGGTAAGTTAAACACTGCAGGAAAATACTGTTAGTTCCCTGCCGAAGGATGTTATCAGGGGCAGGTGAAGGGTGAGCATGTAAGAAGAGAATAATGTTGAAACCTGATGTGTAAGATCAAGAAATGGACAGAATT